TATGGTAAAACTAGAAGAAAAAAACTGCATTTGACAAGCCAGCCTTCATCTATGCTGTTAAACAGACACAGATGTTTTAGCAACTGTTTAAATTATTTGGTAGCATCCTCACTAAGTAAAGAATTAATTTACATAATGTATTTCAGCTGCAAAGACATTTTTAAAAATAAAGGATTCCAATGTTTCAGATGGGAAGGGGAAAACAAATCTGGCTCCTCTCTGGCCTAGCTCATCAAACTAGGCACCACCATTCACTCAAGAATTTTCCTATCAAGGAAATGTTGGGGAACATATGTGCTTGAGAAAGTCTCACGACTAGAGAAACTTTACAATTCCTCATGCCTGGGCATTTCTCTAGACCTTCCTTTCTCTTGTAAATATCGTGAACGGATTTCAATTTCTCTTTTAACGTCTTGCTATGGTGCTGAGGCACATATGGTTATATGCAACTCTGGTTCTTCAAGAACTCTCCTTCTACTTTTCCATCTTTCACTTTCTATACCCAAGTGTGCCTGATCATCATCGCTTGAGGAAATCGCAACAACTTTAGAGCTCACGGAAGTGGCGCTGACAATATGTGGGGATCAGTATTTGTTGATTTCATTGGCACATGAAGATTCAAGGATGCTCCAGAATATGTGTGTGTTTTGGGGGTGAGGATGAGTGAAAAAAGGAAGACAACAGAAACACCAAAAAGTAACAGGCTTTATTCATTCCCCTTCTCTTGCTCTTAAAGAAAAAATTATATGAGATCTCCATCTTTGAGAGTCATTCTTTAGAAGATCTTAAAATATTATGTTTTATTTTATGAAATTGTATGCCTCTGGATCTAGATGTCAGAGTTTGAATCCCAATTCTCCCAGTTGCTGCTGAATTGATTCTGAAAAAATTATTCAAAATGTCTGTGCCTTGGTTTTTCTCATCTGTTAAATGGTAATAAGAATACTACCTATAACATAAGGTTATTATGGAAAGCAAAAAAAGTTAAGCACATATAAAGCACTAACAGTGTCTGGAACATACTAAATACTATGTGTTAGCTACTTTTATTATCTATTATTTTAAATGCCTATATTTTAATTTAGTATCATTTAATATCCAAGGAAGTTTCACCTCTTTTGAAAACTTTTCTAAAATGTTCATGTCTATTTTTCTTCTCTCATAACAAATGGATATGAAACAAGGCATCCTCAAAACCTTCTAGTGCCTTGGGATTATTGTTCTGACCAATAATTTTCTTTATAGGCATTTTGCTTCAATAGAATGTGTCTCTAAATAAATTCAAGACTTGGGAAGGCAGATAAATAAAACATGTCACAGATGTTCTTTCCTTGGTTAGTAATTGGTATGCAAGAAAAACACTTAAAACTCACTAGCAAACAAAAAACAAACAAACAAAAAACTATGAGCATTCATTTAGCTCACTTGTTTGGGGGAGGTCAGCTGAACTGGGCTGGGTGGCTCTGCTGATCTCAGCTGGGCTTATTCATGCATTTGAAAGTTAGCTATTCTAGGCTTTTGTCTCCTTCTGGGCACAGCCTGGGCATGTTCTTCCCATGGTGGTGGCAGAAAGCAAACAGAAACCAGCAAGAGCTCTTAAGGGCTAGTCTCTGATGTGGCACACTGACACTTCTCACTCTGTTGATCAAAGCAGGTCACATGATAAATACCAAAGTCAAAGGGTGGGCATATATTCATTCCATGGAAGCAGGTGAAAGGAAAGAATATTTATGAACAATAAGTCAACCCATCACACTCATGAAGACATTGTTAAGTGATCACAATACTCTTCTCCATTGTGCCTAACTATAGCTTTTGTATCCTAAGCAGCCGCTATAACTGCTAGGAAACCTGCTAAATATGAGGGGAAGGAAGAAAGAAATATAATTGAGACTTCTAGTTTTGCAAATCTTTAATACTTTTTACAGAATAAACGATCTGGACCCCAAATTCTATTTTGTTATAATATAAAACATCACCTTGTTATTTTTTAAACAATAAATATTTATCTATTCAGTTGTGACTCAGTTTGAAATAAAATAATGTGCAAATGAAGCTGGGTCTTGTATTTAAACATTTACATCCTTATCTCAAACATCTATTTAGATACATACATGTATACTAAATACCAGTGAAATATGCCATTAAATTATTAATATCAATAATTTATTTAGCTACTTAACAATTATTTATTAGAGTGTGTTTTGTAAAGAAAACATATTTAGAATCTTTAGCCGTAGTTTGTCACTTTTAATTTTAAAAATCCATACATTCATCAGTCCTTAAACTGAAAATGTACAAGGACGCATACAAATGTGACAGAGCAAAACACCATCTGTACAGCCACTTCTTGTCCACATATTTTAAACTATACTAACAAAATCTAAAATGATTAATATATTTTCACTCATTCCAATTATTTTCAAATTAAACTTTTAAAATAACTTTAATCTTTCCTTTTCTAAATGGTTTTCTTAACAGTGATTTTAATTAAAATATTATGATTTATGTTTACATGAATCCATAATTAGTTTTAACAATAAAATGAAATGAAATTTAGAGATTTTAATGTAAGAATATTACAATGATTGCTGTATTTATATGTAAAAAAGTAAAAGTTGGTAGTTATAATAAGCTAGTATGGAAAAGAGTTTTCATGTTAAACCAATGCAAAATGATTCAAGTGACAACAATAAAAATGGCTCTGGGCAGAATACAGCGGTCTGACTCTTCCAGTAAATACGTACCTTGCAATAAGTTGTCTTTCAAACTGAGCATTTTTATGAAAAAATACTAATCTTACCAATGTCATTAATCCAGCCATTGATCACACTGTGTTAAATTCCTAAAATAACTAAGTTTAAATTTGATTTAAACTAAGTAGCATAAATTTAGAAAGAAAGCTTGTCTTTCCACAGTATTATCCATAGATAGAAAGCAATTTTACAAACCCAAGCCATAATTATTATTTAATGGATTTTGGAAAATAAAATGAGAAGGACAGTTCTCACTAAAGTAATTAAATTTATCAAAAGCAGTGAAAAAAATGTAACTATAAAGTTGTCTCCAGTCTCTTAACAAACAATGAAAAACTAATTCATCTTTATCTCTGGGCCAGTAATTCTTTCCATTCCCATATTTCCTAGTGACAGTTTCTGTGGGTTAGAAATGTAGCTAGAAAGCTGAAGTTTCATCTGGCCATTGGGAACAGATTGGTCCCTCTCTGTCTATTTTGCCATTGCACATTCAGGGCCTCTACTTATTTTCCACCTTCTCTCTTCTGTACACCGTTTGCCAGGAGTCATTTTTTTACAGGGACACCAGCTTACAATTTATTATCAGGGTTCCTGAGTTTAAGCCCTGCCATTTGCTACAATGTAGCCACATCACTTTGGAAAAGGTAGTTAAGCTCCCTGAGCTCCAATTTCCTCATCTACACAGTCAAGGATATGGGGAGTTTTATATATACAAACTTATATAATTAACATTGTGAATCGCTTTATAAAGTATAATGGACCAATCAAATGCCATTATTATTATATTTCACAGAAAATTCAATATTTTAGTAACAAAACCTAACTGCGCTACATGTTTCCAACTGTCCAGGATTAAGTCATACTAAACTGCTCCAGGACAAATTCTTAACTGGTATAAAACGAAACTTAACCAAACCCATTGCCATTGAGCCGATGCCGACTCATAGTGACCCTATAGGACAGAGCAGAACTTCCCCACAGGATTTCCAAGGAGGAGATAGAGGATTCGAACTGCTGACCTTTTGGTTAGCAGCTGAGTTCTTAACCATTGCACCACCAGGGCTCCTTGACTGGTATAGCACTCCATTATTAAGTTCAAATCTAAATTAACTCAGTCAGCACCCCACAGAATACAGTGATTTTGCTGTGTCATAGATAGATCCAGTTTCCTGCCCTGTACTTAGAAGCACTCATTGTCTCTTTATCCTTGATTACATTTCCCCCTTCTGCCTTTATTAGGCTTTCAAAGTCCTAAAATATTTTCACCTGAAGACTTTAACAGACGAGTGGTGTAGACTTTGTAGGTTGTACCTTTGCACCACACAGCTGGACACCTTAACAGGGAAATAGACTTTCTAATAAAAAAATCCACATATTCCCCATGTATTTTCACCCTCAAGATTATGAATTAACTTATTAATTTATACTTTTTAACAACAAGAAGAGAGTGAGAAAGACAGAGAGACAGAGAGGCGAGCTGAGGAATTTAGATACAAATCTATATTCAAACATCACATTTCATTTCAGAGAAAAAATAGCAGTAATTATTTCAAACCCAGTTTATTCTATTCACTATTAGTTAAGTGTAAAATATAAATTCTCCTACTAAAATAGATGCTTGAGAAATATAGGGTACATCATCCAGCATATTAAGAAATCCCACAAAGCAGATTTCTTATAGTCCATCTTTAACGTTAAACATTTCATGCAACTTTCCATAGTTTCCAAGTAAAGCCTAAGCCCTGGGAGGATTTGCTCCAATTTATTTTTATAAAATACAATGTATATGTAGGGAGTAGAAGACATTGCTCATGCCTGGATGCATGTAACTGTAATACGTAATGTAAGGGAAAAGTCAGTAATATTTAAGATATATGTACAGTGGAAATTTGAAAGAATAAGAACTTGATTTTAAAAGGCAGCAGTTTCTATATCAAAAGAATAATTTAACCCTATGATGCCCAGTGAACTTCCTGCCTTTTAAAAAAGACTAAAAGACTTAGATTGACCAAAATAACTTCACTTTTACGAATAGCTACCTAGTCTTCTTTAAAACTTACTCAGAAAAATCAGAGGCCCTTTAAAATTATGTAAGTCAAAGTTATATCCATAAACCAAAGAAAATATGCAATTTGAAAACAACAGAAAAGCAGAAGGGGATTACACCTCCTTTAAAGATCTAAGGTAACATGAGGCCAATGGTGAAGATATCTGAATCAAAGAGTTGCATTTCTTGTTATCAACTCTTTTTTTTTTTTTTGAGGTATGAAAAATTCCAATATAATACAAAATATCACATGATGAGAGGATGACTTTGGAATTAAGAATAATTCTGAATCTTATCCATTAGCTTCATTCTAGCATGATTTATTAACTAACACAGAGATAAGATAGTAGTTGATGTTTTTAAAATTCTCATTCCTTAGAAGGAAAAGCTTATCCATCATTATTTCTATTTGACCTTTCATGACTTCGTGAAAAGATTCTTTATGTGAAAGCTATTATTTCCCACTTATCTATTCTTTTTTGGTTTCAGGCAATTTATATTTGACATACACAAAAGCAAAATCTTTATTTCACAGATATAAACATTGATCGACTTTTGTAATCTACAAATTATAAGGCATAAAAGACAACTTAAACATTCTACCACATACAAGATGAAAACAAAATAGAGATACTTAGGTAAATGCTTTAAACGTCACAGTAGGTAGTTTTCCCCATGTGCTTCATGCTACCAGTAGCTGACCAACGAGTCCAGAATTTCTTTCTTTGATTAAGGCAGCAATAATGGTGGCACCTTGCCTTAAACTCTCCTGTAGCTTGAGCTCATCCTGAAAAGAAAAAAAAAAAAAAAGGTGAAATAATTATTTTAAAAGAAAAGATGTTATAAATTAAAATTTTTAAGGAGCCACGTTTCAAGGTCCACTTCTTTCTAGATGCCACATGCTGTATAGAACTCAGACTTTAACCACCGACATGGACTCAAAACCAAAACCAAACCCATTGCGTTCAAGTCGATTCCGACTCATAGCAACCCTATAGGACAGAGTAGAACTGCCCCATAGGGTTTCCAAGGAGCACTGGTGGACTGGAACTGTCAGTCTTTTGGTTAGCAACCGAGCTCTTAATTTTTTGTTTTTAATTGTATCCAAAGTGTCCCCAAATGGCATTGATTAATTCCGCTTTGCTAGACCAGGGAAGAATTCTCAGAGACACGTAGACATAACAGGCACTGCATATGAGCATTTACCCTCCAGCGGCAAAGGCATGGAACAGTGTGGTGCATTAAGGAAATCTAGACTGACATGGCCAAAGCACTGTATGTCCTTAGAGAACTTAGTGGCTATGTGGCTGGTAAATAGGAAATGCAGGCAAACGTGTTGGATTGTGTCAATCCATCTTGTTAAGGGTCTTCCTCATTTTTGCTGACCTTATATTTTATGAAGCCCTGGTGGCACAGTGGTTAGGAGCTCAGGCTGCTAACCAAAAGGTTGGCAGTTTGAATCCACCAGCCACTCCTTGGAAACTCTATGGGGCAGTTCTACTCTGGCCTAGGATCGCTATGAGTCGGAACTGACTCGATGGCAATGGGTTTTGGTTATCCTGTGTACCAGCTAATCCCTTTTGCAGAAAAGGTTTTCTGCTCCCTTCCTGGCTTAAAACCTGTTGCCATCGAGTCTGTTCAGACTCATGGCAACCCCATGTGTTACAAAGTTGAACTGCACCATAGGGTTTTCTCGGATGTAATCTTTATGGAAGCAAATTGCCGGGCCTTTCTTCCAAAGTGCTGCTGGGTGGGTTTGAATCTCCAACCTTTAGGTTAGTAGGTGAGTGCAAACCATTTGTGCCACCCAGGGACCTCTTCCTAGCTTGTTATTAGGTGCCATCGAGTTGATTCCGACTCAATGACCCCATGTGGCAGAGGAGAACCGCCCCACAGTGTTTTCTTGGTTGTAGTCTTTACAGAAGCAGATTGCCAGGTCTTTATCCCACAGAGCTGCTGGGTGAGTTCAAACCACCAACCTTTCAGTCAACAGCCAAGTGCTTATTAATCATTGCACCACCCGGGTTTCTTCTTCCTAGCTTAAACCCATTGCTGTTGAGTAGATTCCGACCCATGTGACAGAGTAGAACTTCCCCATAGGGTTTCCAAGGCTGTAATCTTACAGAAGCAGACTGCCACATCTTTCTTCTGCAGAGTGGCTGGTGGGTTTGAACTGCCAACCTTTTGGTTAACAGCTGAGAACTTTAACTACTGTGCCACCAGGACTCCTTCTTCCTAGTTGACCCTAATTATTCTTGTGGTTCAACCCAAATACCTTTGACTCTCACAATCTACCTCCAATCCTCCAATCCAGTTTGGGTGACGTTAACCTATATATTTCCATAGGATGCTTTGAATTACTCTAACATAGTATTTATAACCCTGAATTCTAATAGTTTTTTTTAGCTGACCATCTATTCCAACAGATGATGAGTTTCTTGATACCCAAACTATAGGGTCCAGAAGGAGCAAGATATATTCTGGGAAGAGTGAGTGATGACTGATTGTTACACTAGTATGACAATATGATAAGCTGGACCTTACAAAGGTATTCATGAAAAGTGGGTACCCAAATTTCCACAATACTAAAGAGAGAGAAAAAAAAAAAAACACCAAATTAAACATCAGCAGTTTATTTACTATCTGTAACTCTAATTCTGACAACATGAATTCACAGATTTCAGGCTTATCTTTATTTCAACTCACCATTTATAAAGCAAAAACTGTAAAAACTGCACCTCAGCATTTACAAACCCATGCATAAAAATCAAAAGCATATATAGGGGACATCAGCACAACTTGACCAAGGCCAAGTCATAGAAGCTTCTTAGACACATTCAAACACCTTGAGGGACCAAATTACTGGGGCTGAGGCCTGGGAACCATTGTCTCTGGGGACATCTAGGTCAACTGGCATAACATAGTTCATAAAGAAAATGTTCTACACGTTACTTTGGTGAGTAGCATCTGGGGTATTAAAAGCTTGCAAGTGGCCATCTAAGATACATCTATTGGTTCCATCCAATCTGGAGCAAAGGAAAATGAAGAAAACCAAAGACACAAGGGAAAGATTAGTCCAAAGGACTAAAGGACCACAAGAACCAAAGCCTTCACTAGCCTGAGCCTAGAAGAACTATATGGTGCGCCAGCTACTCCCACTAACAGCACTAACAGGGATCACAATAGGTGGTCCAGGACAGAGCAGGAGAAAAATGCAGAACAAAATTCAAATTCTCAAAATAAGACCAGACTTTCTGGTCTGACAGAGGCTAGAGGAAGCCCCAAGACTATGGTCCCAGGACACCCTAACTCAGAACTGAATCCACTCCCAAAGTCCACATTTCAGACAAAGATTAGACAGGCCTATAAAACAAACAATGTCACACATGAAAAACCTGTCTCTTAGTTCAGTTAAGTATATGAGACCAAATGGGCAACACCTGCCCAAAATCAAAGACAAGAAGGCAGGAAGTGACAGGAAAATTGGACAAATGGACACAGGGAAGGTGGGATAGAAAGGAAAAGGAGAAGAGCACTGACACGACGCAGGGATTGCAACCAATGTCACAAAAGAATTTGTGTATAAAATTTTTTTTTTAAATTGTGCTTTGGGTGAAAGTTTATGGAACAAATTAGTTTCTCATTAAACAGTTAATACACAAATTGTTTTAACTCAGTACTGAGTTAAAGTGATATCTGAGGCCATACTCTCAGGGGTTTCTCCAGTCTCTGTCAGACCAGCAAGCCCAGTCTTTTTTCGTGTGCGTATGAATTTAAATTTTTTTCTACATTTTTCTCCTGCTCTACCCGGGACCCTCTATTTTGAGTCTTGCCAGAGCAGTTGGTGGCAGTAACCAGGCACCAGCTAGATATTCTGGGATCAATCTGGTGGAGGTTGTGGTAGTTGTGGTCCATTAATCCTTTGGACTAATCTAACCCTTGTGTCTTTGGTTTTCTTCATTCTTTGCTCCAGCTGGGATGGGACCAGTAGATGGCATCTTAGATTGCCGCTCACAGGCTTTTAAAACCCCAGACGCAACTCACCACAGTCAGATGTAGAACATTTTCTTTATAGACTATGTTATGCCAATTGAGCTAGATGTCCCCCAAGATCACGGTCCCCAGCCCTCAGCCCAGTAGCTCGGTCCCTCATGGCATTTGGATGTGTCTGTGGAGCTTCTATGACTTTGCTCTGGTCAAGTTGTGCTGACTTCCCCAGTATTGTGCACTGTCTTATCCTTCACCAAGAACCCACTGCGGTTGAGTCCATACCACTTATCTACTAAATAGTTAGTATTCTTATCTTTCCACCCTCTCCTCCCTCCTAGTCATCAAAGATTGTTTCTTTCTGTGTGAAAACATTTTCATGTGTTTTTATAATAGTGGTCTCATACAATATTTGTCCTTTTGTGGTTGATTTACTTCACTTAGCATAATGCCCTCAAGATTCATCCATGTTGTGAGATGTTTCACAGATTCATCATTGTTCTTTATCATTGCATGGTATTCCATTGTGTGTATGTATCACAGTTTATCTACTCATCTGCTGAAGGACACTTAGGTTGTTTCCACCTTTTGGCTATTGTGAATGATGCTGCAATCAATATGGGTGTGCATGTGTATATTCATGTCACAGCTCTTATTTCTCTAGGATATATTCCTAGGAGTGGGATTGCTGGATCATGTGGTATTTCTAACTTTTTAAGGAAGCACCACGTGGTTTTCCAAAGTGGTTGTACCATTTTGCATTGCCACTAGCAGTGCGTAAGAGTTCCAATCTCTCCTCAACCCTTCCAATATTTGTTGTTTTCTGTTTGTTTTTTTATTTGTGCCAGAAGTATTGGGGTGAGATGATATCTCATTGTAGTTTTGATTTTCATTTCTCTAATGGCTAGTGATCACGAGCATTTTCTCATGAGTCTGTTAGCCACCTGAATGTCTTCTTTGGTGAAGTGTCTGTTCATATCCTTTGCTCATTTTTTAACTGCATTATTTGTCTCTTTCTTGTACAGGTGTTGGATTTTCCTATAGATTTTAGAGATTAGAACTTTGTTGCATATGTCATAGCCAAAATTTTTTTCCCAGTCTATAGGTTCTCTTTTTACTTTTTTGGTAAAGTCTTTTGATGAGCATAAATGTTTAATTTTTAGAAGATCCCATTTATCTAGCTTATCTTTGGGTGTTTGTGTATTGTTCACTGTGGTTTGTATACTGTTTATGCTGTATATTAGGGCCCCTAGTGTTGACCCTATTTTTTCTTCCATGATCTTTATAGCTTTGGTTTTATATTTAGGTCTTTGATCCATTTTGAATTGCTTTTTGTGTATGGTGAGAGGTATGGGTCTTGTTCCATTTGTTAACAGATGGACATCCAGTTTTGCCAGCACCATTTGTTAAAAAGACTGTCTTTTCCCCATTTGATGGACTTTGGACCTTTGTCAAAAATCAGGTGGCCATGGGTGGATGGATTTACATCTGGGTTCTCGATTCTGTTCCACTGGTCAATTTATCTGTCATACCAGTACCAGGCTGTTTTGACTACCGTAGCTGTATGGTAGGTTCTGAGGTCAGGTAGTGCATGGCCTCCTACTTTGTTCTACAACAATGCTTTACTTATCTGGGGCCTCTTTCCTTTCCACATAAAGTTCATGATTAGTTTTTCCATCTTGTTAAAGAATGCTGTTGATATTTGGATTGGGATTGCACTGTATTTGTAAATTGCTTTGGATAGAATTGACATTTTCACAATGTTTAGTCTACCTATCCATGAGCATGGTATGTTTTTCC